CATAGGTGTGCTGTGAGGATTAAATGAGGTAATACGTGCCAAATGCCCAAAACAGTGCCTGGCACAAATGAATGTCACACAAACATCCAGCATTATTGTTTGCAAAGCTGTGAGGCCATCCTTTGTGCTCTGTAAGGTCACTCACTTGAAGAAAGACGAAGTCATAAGATGTTGGCAGAGGCTTGGAGATTCCTCCTGCCTGCCCCTCCTGTGATGGGTGAATAGCGGTGCCCAGCCACAGGAGGTGTCCTGCCCAAGGGGGCCCAGTCCTGCAGACCATAGACCAGGCCCAGCTTTCTTGAGCCCCTGCTCCATGAGGACACGTGGTGTTGCTGCCTTCGCCCCCGTGCATTTCATGATCCGAGGCTACTAAGGGAGATATGGCGTGACACGCGGTGACATCCACTGTGGGAACACATCCGGGAGGAGAGTTGGTGTCTTTCTCTTGGGAAGAGTGCGGTGAGCTTTCTGGAACCCGCAGGAAGGTGGAGCAGGAGGGGGCTTAGAGGAATGACAGCCAATCCTGTGTCTCCTGAAGACGCTGTGCCTCCCCCTTGGAGCGCACCTCTGGGCTGGCACCCCACGCGGTGGCAGAGGAGGGCACGGGCCTGTGGGATGAGATCACCCGCCTGGAGCCGCCTTTCCGCGACGCTTAGGGTCTAGCGCCACCGTGTGACTGCGGGCCGAGGTCGCTTCCGCAGAGGGGATGGAAGGCCCTGCAGGGGGTGGCTGGCAGCGCAGCCTCAGAGGTCACCCAGAAACTCTGGGTTTTACACGCAGGAAACTGAGATTCTGAGGGAGAGCAGCGCTGGCCCAGGGGCATAAGGGGGGGCATGCCTTATTCCGTCCTCCCACCCCACCCATCTGCCTCGCTGTTTCTTGGCAGCTCCTTAGATCCTGAGAGAGACAGACACCAGGGAAACCTGGGAGGAGGAAGAATCCCAGAGCTGCCAGGACCCTCCTGCATGAGACGCAGAGGCTTCGCCCGTGTTGTGGGGGGCAATCAAGGTCGTGGGTCCGCCCAGGTTCTGGTCCTGCCTGGGTCTCCCAGCACTGAGTGACTGAGGCAGGTGTGGCCTGCTTTCTAGCACTGGTGTCCTCCCCTATAACGTGGGTCCAGACCTAATCCTATTGCCAGCCAGTACCCCTTAGTTGTCTACTGGGGACCCAAGGACTTAAGAGTAGCGGAGCAGGGGCAGGAGCCGGGGCGATGGGAAAGGATGAGCGTTTGCGTTGAGGCCTGGTGGTCAGGCGTGGGGCTGTGATCATTAAGAGCAGCAGAGGAGGGGCAGGAGTGGCACGGTGGGAAAGGACAGGCGTTTGCGTTGAGGCCTGGCGGTCAGGCATGGGGCTGTCATCAGCTCCTACTGTGTCCGGGAGGTGCCTGGTGGGTGACCTGGGAGGCACCATGCTGTCCCAGCTCAGTTCTGCCTGGACCCTGGTGCCCTCTAGGCCTCAGCATCTGCTTGCTGGTTGGCTCAGGGAGGAGTGGCACCTGCTTTGCCTATATCCACCCTGGCTCTTCCCACACCCTGGCGTGCTCACACCCAGGAGAGTGTCAAGACTGGCTCCCCTTGGCAGGCCTTCCAGTTGAATTAGCTTATTCTGGGCTCATTGGTTTCCTTTGCCCTGGCCTTAGTGGGCAGAGCAGCCTGCGGCTTTGGGAAAATGCGGGGTGGAGGGGTAGAACCTCCATCTGCTGACAATGGCATTTCCACAAGGCATTGCTTTGCCCTGGGTCAAGGGGTCAAAGGGGTGCTCCCTTTGCCCCGGTAGGGCAGACCTGGGTGAACCTGAGTGCTGGCATTACTGACCTGGGACCCAGAAGGATAGGGTTAATGCTGCCGTATAACCATTCCTCCAGCTGCTGGGCCACCTGTAAGACTAGAAGAGGCAGACTCTGTGGTCTGAGACAATTAGGTTTGTGTTCTGGGGCCTGGAGTGATCTATGGCTTGTGTGCTGAAGGTGCCACCTGTCAGGGAGCAGCTCTGATCTGGGAGATCCATGGCACTGTGGCTCTGCTGGGCACATGGCTGTCCTGGACATGAGTGCCAAAGCTCTTGGCATGCAGCCCTGCCTTGGTGCCTCGGCCGGAGCATTCTTGTCCCCAGTGCTCTGCCTCCCCCACACTCCCGTCATGGTTGATCAACCTGACCCTTCCATCACCCTCCATCAGGGGCTCACCTCAGTCCCTCCCAAAGTACCAGTGATGACATCTGCTTCCAGGAACCTCCCTGCACACGTTTCTTGCTGCCATCACCTCTTGCAGGCAGTCCTTTCCTTCAGATCCCCAGACTTGATGCCGCTCCCCTCACTTTTGCTTTCTCCTTCAGCTCCTTCCTACTTCTCTCTCTGTCTGTCTGTGTCTGTCTCACTATGTCTCTGCCTCTGTCTCTGTCTCTCTGTCTGTCTGTGTGTGTCTGTCTCCTCTGTCTCTGCCTCTGTCTCTGTCTCTCTGTCTGTGTCTGTCTGTCTCACTATGTCTCTGCCTCTGTCTCTGTCTCTCTGTCTGTCTGTGTCTGTCTTACTATGTCTCTGCCTGTCTCTGTCTCTCTGTCTGTCTGTGTGTGTCTGTCTCACTATGTCTCTGCCTCTGTCTCTGTCTCTCTGTCTGTCTGTGTCTGTCTGTCTCAC